TCATTGGACACTCAGATGGCTTCTCCTCCATAAATAGAAATATTATGGACTGTACGACGTGTCGGGTTGTGCGACCTTGCAGGTAAATAATCCAATTGAGAATGTCTGGGCTGTTCTGAAGCATAATATTGAAAAACGTATTAAGAAAATGGTGGCAGAAAAAGTAAAAATCTCTCAGTCCGTTTTTTTAAATTTAATTAGAGAGGAATGGGATGGTCTCGAGAAAAATGTCATAGTTAACAGCATCAGTAGTATGAAAAATAGAATTCAAGCTTGTATTGATGCTGAAGGAGGCCATACTAAATAATAAAATTTGTAGCCCTAATGTTTGGCTTTCATTAGAATTTCTGGATTTGTTTTTATCTTTCAAGCTGAGCTCATTGCGTCCCAAAAACTGACTGCCATTACTTTTGCTGGGGACTGTATACTGGCATTATTTAATTATTGTGGCAGATTAAAACAAAACAAAATTTGGGATCTTCTTGGATCCTCTTTTAATGCCTCTGAAACCCACATATACATATACTCTTCTATTAACATTAACAAAAGTTACCCTAAATCCCATCCCAAATCCCAAAAAAGCCTAGAATAAGAAAACTGCCCCCTAAAAATTTTAAATTTTCATATTCAAATAGAGAAAATTTCATTTTAATCCAATTTCATTTTAATCTGTCACAATTATTTCCATTTTTTTGCTAATTCATGTCACTTCATTTGTCCAGAAAAACAGTTTTATGAGAGGATTTACAATTTTGTACTCTCATTCGGAATGAGCAAGAAATTGATGAAAGATATTTAAAAGATAGAATATATTAATGTTAATATAGGATTCAGTAATAGTAATATTCAAAACCAATATCTATATTACTATCTTTATTTGATTTCCCATCCAACAAAGGTAAGATTAGAGTTGCCCCATCCCTGCCCAAAAGCTCTTTATATTTAAAACACAGGCAAGCCTGTGTCCCAATACTTCTTAGACCTAGGAACCATGCAGGCTTCCTAAGTCCTATGGGACCAACATTGGGTCAATGAATATCAGGAAAACTAATTGTCTGAAACTAAAACTAGTTGATCTCTGCCATGCCACATATTAATATTTATTACAGAAATATTTCTATATCTGTCAAGAAGAAGCTGAGTCTTTCCCTTCTTCCATCTACATAGACTGGTTGTTGAAACTCTGCCTGTTCTATATTCATGCTTTGTGGTTGTGTGAATTCAGGTTGAACTTGGCTAGAGCTTGCTCATGACTAGCAATACTCTCAATGCCTCTTCTATCTTCACCCAAAGAAGAACTCAAGGAAGACATCAGACAAATAGTAGCTGGTGGTGGACATGATCAGAGAGAGTTGCCCATAGCAGAAGACCTGGCAGACCAATGCACTGGGCAAGAGATCTGTTCCCAGAATCTGACACACAAGAGGAAGAGGAGCAGCTGTTCTCCTTGTGGCTTGAGCCACTTTGATACGGATAGCAAATCCGATGGTGGTTCTCTGCCGCATAACGTCAAGACTTCGTAGGTTTTCGCAAATTGTAATTTTCTTTTAGAGACCGCCTTCCATGTCATTAGTTTGTTTTATTAAAACTCAAACCATGTGCCTGCCTCTCTAGAGGATATTCTCCAGTCTCCGCGAATAGGCTTGCTGAATGGGCATCAGCAGCGGCGATATTGAAATGGTCTTTCGTTCAGAAATCCTATAAGGCTCTATTCAGCAGACTTTCGTCTGAAATATTTGTGTGTTGTTGCTAGACACGTTATAAGCACTACGCGTAATGAGCCTTGGCAAGTGTTCAACTTCTGCCGTAACAAAGTCTTCATTTCCCCATGACTGTCAATAGTGCTTGGAGAAGGCTGCCTTGCCAGGAATAGGCTTTGTGCGATGCTTGGTAAGTTCGCGTGTGTACGTAACAGCAACGACGCTATTGTTTATGAATCACTGAATAGTCACGTGTAATATGAAGCATTACGCAATCGATAATTTAGGATAACTCTATGCTGCGCATATCGATATGGTAAACGCTAAAGATTATATCTTCTTTTTCGCAAAGTTTTGTTTCGATTAACTAAAAGTGACTAACGACATTAGTTGCAAACGTTCGTTGGGGGTAAGCTCCACGGAAAATAAGCATCGGATACAATCAATTCTAGCTGAATTATTTGCAAGTCCGTTAACTGACATTTCCTCAGCACGAAAAGATGGCAATGACAATCATTTAATAGGATGAAACCAGTTTATTACTGCATTCTGAATATCTCAGCAAGGCTGTCTTTGAAAGCTTTAAGAATGTCATATTGAAGGTTTTCAATAATGGTGGGCGATGCTAAAGCAGAAGCAAACATATTCAAGGATATAACGAATATTTGACTGTTGGTTTTTTGAGTCTAACACGTTTTTATTTTACATGACTATTAGTTTCGGATTTGACACTATTAATTATTCTGCGAATGAATTAGAATATACGCATACTACTAATTTCTCATATACTGCATGTCAACTTCATTGCTCTCATACGCGCAACTCGCTGCAAACAGCTATTTTTATTTTAGATGTGCCATAAACAAGTTAAAATGTAACAATTAGCTCCACAGTTCGCTCTTTTTATCTTTCTTGGCCCCCCTTAATAATTAGGTAGAGCACACAAAATGCTGAATAACGAGAGGAATAGTCTGTCAACTCGATGAAGTTTCGAACGTAGAAAATATTTCATGATCAAATTGACTGCGGCTAATTAGAAATTGTTATAAAAAAGTTAGCAGTTCATTGTTGCGGTTGGTATATATTTGAGCGGTATTATCTTTCGCGTAGGTATGTTCACCAACCGGGAAATGTTACCAAGCTTAGCTCGCATTACCGCCCTTGCTCCAGGGCTGTACGATTATGACTGAATTATGCTTCGAGCAACCTATTAAATAATAGATTTGTTATTCGCGCGCTTAACCACTCCCTATACGATGTATTTTCCACTCGTATCCAAATAAGGGTACCAAACAACAACAATTTAATAGTTGAATCGAAGGGAAATTTAATTTTTAAATTTAATCTTCGATTTGGTATTTTGATTGGTCGGGTTTCCTATTCTTTACTATCAATAAGAAGGGTATGAGTCTAGGTTGTCGATAATTCTCTGCGCATTTCAGATTTTAAAGTTACGTCTAAATTACCCGTGTCAGAAAAGTGGGTTCTAATACGTGCTGGGTATTATTTTTGACTGTTTCCTTTTTTATTTTGCCTGATTATGTTCATGGTAGATATTTACCTCTTAAAAATCTATCAAAGGAATTGTACTTTTGCACTGGTTTCCGTGCTATGCGTTGAAGGTACGGTAAGGTACGTACGTATTGCATCCACATCGTATTATTATATTTTTTAGTAATATTTGCCATAAGAATAAGAAGTACGATAGATTGACTTAAATGACATTTCCTATGACAATTCGTTATTATTATACGCGTACTTGCTTAGGCCACTTATTTGCAAGCAGAAAAATAAAACGGAGGACTATAGTTGTAGTATTCAGCAACTAGAATGCGCGTAGGTTTGCCAGACTCGGACAACAAATCAAAGATTGAATATCAGTTATCTTGAACCGCTTCACGTCGAATGTCTAGTATTGATATCAACCTGACAGTAACTAACGTTCGTTCTAATTACAAATTTCAACGAGAGAATTATTAATGGGTTAAACCACAATAATCTGGATTTGCAAACCTGTTTATTATGTTATTATATGCGTGGTTATCGAAATAAATAATATCAACTATATTAAAATTACGACAAGTAATTCACTCAAAGCCGGCTTTAACGTTATCATATTTACTATTAGGAAATGAGATGTGATTTGGTGTCCTGTCCAACTCTGTCACTCCATGTAATTCATTATACACAGTTCTTAATAACGACCGTTCGTTGTCGGTTGGATGGTCAGCACTCAGTTCCCAGAACATTCCCCCTCCCAAACCCATTGCAACTATATATTGAGCTTTACGCGCAATAACGTGGGGATTATCGTAACTGATAAACTCTTTGTTCTTGCTATTGTAACTGTATGCTGCGACTGCAACGTGATCCACGATCTCATCCGCATGCTCGGGGGGAAGCTTCTTATAATCATAGACACCTTCTTCCCAAGTTCCCTCCCCAACGCCGTTGAACGCTCCACCAACTCCGCTGGTATTTCTAAATGCACGGCCATACATTGGCATACCAACAACGATCTTGTGAGCCGACACACCATGCTCGATATAGTGTCTAACAGCCATATCGATATTGAGATCGCCCGCATAAAGATTAGCCTGGTGTCCGGCGGCATCCGACCACGAACCGCAAAAGTCGTAGGCCATTAAATAAAAGTGATCGAGGTATCTGCTCATCCCATTCAGGTCGAGGATACGATACTTGGATTCACCAGCTGGCACCGCGGCCGTTAAAAGATATCGATTTGTCTCTCTTTTCGAAGATGCATACTCGTCTAATCCTTGACGAAGTTCTTGAAGAAGTGTAACATAGTTATGGGCATCCTTATTGTTTTCTGGATACTCCCAGTCAACTACAAGCGATCAACACGATCATGTCAGTTAGTTTCCCAACTGGTTACACAATTTACGTAGAATGCGAATAATGCACTTACTGTCTAATCCATCTAGACCTAAATCATTGAGCAGAGCAATAGATGACTCGACAAACTTGTGTCTCGACGCTTTATGAGCTGCCATTGCCGGGAAGTTTTTCGACAGCGTCCACCCTCCGATTGACAAGCTAACTTTCAGATGTCTATTCTTCTTTTTCAACAAACCTAGCTGTTTGAAATTTCCATAAAGATTGTTTCCCGAGTCATTCCACGAATCACCATCAAAATGTTTGTCGGTATCAGCCCATGGATCTTTAAGAATGACTGTTCCATCGGCATTGGGCTCGGCAAAGGCGTAGAGTATATGAGAAAGTTTAGACGGATCCAAGTCCGATACAGTAAAAGCACGGGCGTATATGCCCCAAGAGACGAAATATCCCGCAATGACCTTGCCTCTGCTGGGTGTGTTAAGATCCATTGGTGGAGCGAGAGTGTTTTCGTCGAAATTCTTAACGTTTAGGAATAGGCCAGGAACGATGTTCCAAAGCGTAACGATTGCAAGTGTGAAGAATACTAAGGTTAACAGTAGCCGTCTTAGGTTTCCCCTATTATTAATTTGCCGGCTAGGCGCTTTAGTATTAGATTCGTCTTCGGAGACACTGAGCGGGGAGTAATTGCTCATGACGATGTGTTCTTATAGCAAATTGTCCATGAATGACATATTCGTGGGGGTTATGATTACACGTTTCATTTAGAGTCAGTTCCACAAAAACAGCCGTGGAACAGTTTCGCATATACGGTATAACGAGCAATGAAATTAAATTATCGCGAAGTTAATATTTCTATTAATATAACAGACGCTACTACGTAATGCCCGCATATGCATTCCCAAATACAGTCTGGTAGTAACTCCTGAGGCTGGGTTATGAACGAACAGTCCAAAGGCTTGGCAATAATACTGGACTCTTTGCTCAATAAATCTATGACGTAGCATAAAAGTTTTAAATCCAATCAACTTACTAAACTGTCAGAGGTATTTGAAAAGTTTCCAAGACACGCACTCGATAGTATGTCTATTCAATATTGCAATTTTTTACTTCAAAAAATAATAATGGGTATGGTAGATAGTTTGTCCAAAATGGTCTTCCTCTTGCTAATGCGTGAGCACTCTAGATTAACATTTCTTAGACTTTGCTGCTTCTTTGGTAAAACCCGTGTTTTTGTGACGCGCTAAAGGCAATCTTATACGCATATCGGGTTTGTGGATTCTCTCAGCGTTTGTGCGTTTTGCAGTCGCTTCATTCTTTTCTTCGGCCCTAAACACATAAAAAAATCGGTTAGAAAAGTTCTCAACAGTACAAGACAATAAATATATCTATTACAGTATACATAGGCAAACTCGATAAGTCGGTCATGCATGATGGACCGACTTATCGAGAGATTTTAAATATTAAAACTGAGAAAAGGGCTTGGGAAGTTTTGGCCTTCTTAGGCCAAAATTGAATCATCGAGAGACCGACTTATCGAGTTTGCCTGTATATTCACCATCTCGTATCAAGCAGAATCTCTCCATGTCGAAAACCTTGAAAGAAACATGATATTGTTTTAACACCACAAATGACGCAGCCCAAATGTGACGCCTATTAAAAAGAATTGTTAATAAACTGCATGTTTATATTATTAAAAAGAAAACTTAAAAGGGTATGCGTCGCGGAGAAACCGCATCACTAATACTCGACCCTATAAATGAATAATAAATAAATAAATAAATAAATAAATAAATATATATATATATATAAAGTAGAGACCAATACTGATGAAATGTATACACAGGTATAGAAAGTCAAAATATTGTATTATGCTTTGTCGTGTGCAAATGCGGAGGAACTTGGGGCAAGGGTGCTCCCTCTTCCGAAGCAGTTTATTTTATAGTATCATGCTTGAAAAACACGATTCAATCAACACTCCCACCCAAGTCTAAGACCAATATCAGACATCAACCATTTCATAATTATATTTATACCAATTTACTGAGTCACTGCACTCGTGTTTTACGCGATCTTAGTTTCCATTTTGTTCCTGCTATCTTCATTTGAATCCGTGGCCTCGCCTGGTTTATCGGCAACTTTTTCACAGTCTTCACATCGCCAGATATATCCACTACGAATATAATGCAAAAGGAGAAAAAAAGTATAAGGGTCAATACAAATGCTAACAGGGTTTATAAATTATGCACGCATGTAATTATTCTCACCTGGAAGGCATAGTCCTTGTCGGTGGATTCATACATGCTAGGTGGTACCATTTGGTACAGAAGTTGCATCTAATCATCCTATGGACTCTGTCCCTGCCTTTTACTATAGCAGAAGCTCTGACCCTAACTGGACTAACCAGTGTAGCTGTAGACCGTGCATCAGGCGCCTGTACTTCCCCACAACATACACAAATGGGTTGGGGCACAACTGGTGCTAATGGACTCTTCGCATGAGTTGTCATTTTATCTTCTGATTGTCCTCGTGATTTAACTCGCCGAACTGCTTTCGGCCTCTCTTGGGCTCGAGTACGACGCACTTTTCTTGGAGGACTATCTTCCATGATTTCTATTGTGCCGTTGAACCTGCTGTTGAATGCACTCCTATGCTTGTGACTGATGTGATTCGTTTTTCGTTCGTATACATATAAATGTTGAATATTTATTAATGCGTTATTATTATAGATATTATCACTTACCAAATTCTCTAGATCACCAAGATCACACCACTATCCGAGCCGTGTGTGTGTTTTTCATACGTATGTTTTTTATGATTGTCATTGTCCTACCATCTAAAGTAAATAAGGGAGGCAATCATTTCATTTCGTCGACAATCATTTCATCGACCAACAAATCTTCACCAACATTATTTCGAAGTTATCCTTTTTTGGCAGTTAATTGTCGGTGAAATGATTGTCGACGAAATAATACGGACCCGTAAATAATAATCACTAATAAATAAACCAATTCTATACCACCATGTATTGAATTTATCAACAAGTCTCGATGTATTATCCTTGTCCAGCAAATCAACGGCCAAGCACTGAACCAATATTATTACACCAAAGCACTCTAAGGTTAGCGCAATCCTCCGAAACTCTAATAAATAATACATGTCAAACCTAAAAATGTAAGAGTGAAAGCCCAAACAAGGAAATAAGGCTGTGGTGATTTATTCGAGTCAGACATTATGGATAACTGTGGAGTTTAAAGGAACGTTTTTATAGAACAAATGCCGAGATAGCTTGATAAGCATTCATTAGTCTACTGGCATTAAAGATTAAAATAGGTAACAATAAACTTTCAGAGATAAAACACGGAAATATTGACAATTTGACGGTTGAATTCTGTATGAACATGCCCCATACATGTTATGTATTTATTAATTTAATTCCATTAATTTTTGAGGCACGAAACTAACTTTTGAGATAGTCTTCAACATAGCTCTTTTCCCCCAAAATATCAGTTTTAAGAATCTTATTACGCTACTTTACAATGTACCATACTATAAACAATACAATATACAAACAAGCAATAATCATATTTGTTTTTTTCTTCTCGGTTTTCACGTTCAATTTTTTGGCTCTTGTTCCAATTACCATAAATTCCTTGTCCCCCCATTCACCTCACTCCCCACAAATCCTTTCTTATTGTTATTTAAAGGATCCAAATCTTCAAAAGCTGCATCAAATGATATCTTGCTACCTGCATGCTGTAAATTATTCAACGATCCATTAACATTTACTGAATTGGACGTCAATGGAAATGGATTATGCGATCCGTAAGCAGACGAAATCCCAGAAAAATGTGACGACTGCTGCATGCTAGCTCCATTTACCGGCGTTGATGTAAATGGATTAACGGAAGTTTGGTAGTTGGTACTCGTTTGTTGTTGTGGTATCGAAGGTAGATTACTAGCCTGCCCCGCAGATATCTCAGTCTTTTGTCGTTGAAAGATTTCAAAAGGTGAGAATGGGTCAGTATTGTTCATGTTGTTTGATGAAGAGGTGAAATTAATGCCAGTGAGAGTACTTTGGTATTTTGTGTCTTGATGTTGAGTACTTTGATATGGCGGTTGTTGTCGTGTAGCAAATGTATTAGAGTTCGTAATACCAGCCGAGAGAGCGGGTTGTTGATGTGTTAAATTAGAAGCAGGCTGTAACGTATTAAATACGTTCGTAGACGATCCATTTCCTAGTATAGATGATTCTGGAGCTTGCTGAAATGATGTAAATAGATCTGAAGACATGGATCGTTGAAGTGAAGTAGTCTGCACTGGTTGGGACGAACTGAATGTATTATTATTACTTGAGGAAGAAGATGATGATGCATGTCTTTGTAATGAAGTTGTTGACGCTGATTGGAAGGTGTCAAATATATCATTTGACATGGATCGTTGTATTGGATTGGTTGAAGCTGATTGGAAGTTGGTAAATATATCATCAGACGCCGTTCGCTGAAGTGCTGGCGGCTGAGCCGATTGGAACGAGTTGAACAAATTATCCAAACTTGGTGGTGATGTGTCTCGAAGTGATTGTGTCGGAGCTGACTGGAACACATCAAATCCGTTGTCTACAACTCTATCGTTTGCTTTTTGCATAGATGCAGATTGAAATACATCAAATATTGTTGAATTATTGTTGTAAAGTGCATCATATGGGTTGGTAGACTTTTGGGTTTTCTGCATTGAATCAAACGGAGAAGAAACCTGATGAGTTGCTGTTACTCCCGTTTGATTGGTTATGGTTGTATTGTTTATTACAGGGGCTTTCGATACACTATCTGATAAGTTCAAGCGTTCAAATGCTTTGTAGGGATCGGTCATCGTATCGAACGGCGAAGAAACCTGCTGGTTTGTTATTCCTGTTTGATTGGTTATGGGTATATTGTTTACTACAGGGGCCTTCGATGCACTATCTGATATGTTCAAGTGTTCAAATGCTTTGTAGGGATCGGTCATCGTATCGAACGGAGAAGAAACTTGCTGGTTTGCTGTTATCCCTGTTTGATTGGTTATGGGTATATTGTTTACTACAGGGGCTTTCGATACACTATCTGATACGCTCAAGCGTTCAAATGCTTTATAGGGATCGGTGGTTGCAGAGGTGGATGAAACGGAAGAACTTGTTGTCGCAAACGGATTCGTTGAATTTACAGGCTGTTGCAAATTATTAAACAATGTTTGCTGATCATTATAACTAGTCAAATTGGTCATTGACGAATTGTTAGATGCCGCAGAAGAATCATTCGATGTCGAATATGAATTCATAACGCTAATTGGGCGATTAGAACTGACCAAGTTTGTTGTTCGACGATTATTCAAGTTGACATCCTGATACAATCCAGACTGGGGTCTAGGACTAGACTGCTGCCGTCTTGGAGTGGTAACTGACATGCCAGGCATTGTGCTGCTTCTCAATTGAGGTTGCTGCACTGGTTGAGACAGGGATACTTGTGAGGACGGTTGCGAATTCGACGTATAGTTACTAAATGGTGAGAAAATATCTTCGACCTCGGATTTACGACTAGATAATGTGTCGGATGATGGGGTGTCGCGCTTGGTAGCGAAAGTTGGTGAAGTGGGCGACACGGTCCTTGTCGAAGCAGGCGTCGTCGTACTAGACCCTCTGCCCACGTTCCATCCGGGATCCGTGAAACTCTTGAAATGTTTTCCTATTACATGCGTAGCATCATCGACATCGCGTCTACTTCCAATTATGTTCTCTCCAACTTCACCGCCAGACGAAACACTTCGTTCGCTAACCCTTACATCTGCGGCGCTTGATTGTCGGCTTAGCGTACTACTGGAAGACAGCGAGCTCGATCGATGGGACAATGCGGGCGGGTTGATGACTATTGATCCTTTGTCAAAGCTATCTTTACTAATAACCTTCTGCCCATCTGCATGAACAGATGTGAGCCAGCGCTTGTTAATGTATTTCATCCGCATAAATTGCGTAATACCGTCTACATCATCTACAGCCGGTTCGGGGAAATCGGCAGTAGTATATTTTGCTAACCAGATTTCGGCAGCTTTCTAATAAAAGCAATGGTATGTGGGAAGCTGGTTTAGAATTGAATTGAATGCGCAAGTGTGTAAGTAACACATAATAATGTATACGTACAGCATTACCACCTCTCTTTAAAGCATCTATCTCGGCCGAAGTAAAAGTAGATGCTGAGATGGATTTCACTCTGTGACTAAGATTACGGCTTCAGAGAACAATCGTTGTTAATGGAAATATACTCTAACGTGCATATTACGCGATTCTCAATTAACGACACTTACTGCAAACCCGAGCATCTCGCACATATGAATGAGGAGTTCAATAAATTCACGTAAACTGGACCCTAGAATATTTATTGTGTATGGGTAATAAATATAAACTGTTCTTAGTCTAGAAGCAAGTTGCTACAACTCACCGATCTCACTCGATCAACTTTGATGTAAGCAAATCAAGCAAGTTGGTCAAGCCTATAGGTGGGAGTAGTATGTGTCTTGAGAAGATTAGAGGCCTATACTTACTTTTGCTGGACAGTCGAAGCATTTTTTATTCTCTGGTCGCTTTAAAAGCTCGCGAATGATCCTGAGTGATCAAAAAAGTTTAGCAAATGACAAACTCGTAGCAGTCAAGACGCATAAACCACGAGCAGAAAAGAAAACAAAAGAGCGATTACCTGAGGTGACGCTCTTCTTGTTTCTTTGATTGAGTCATTGTGAACAATTTATATCTCTCGAGTTTCTAAATTTCTATCGAGTATGAGCTCTTTTTTTTTTTTTCTTCTTCAAGGTCCCAACACCAACTTCTGTTGATTTGGGTATTGTGTGAGGGTCAGTATATTAATATTGATTAAATAAATTGAGCATTTAAGTTTTTGGTCACATTCCCTCGAACAAAAATGTTGTGATGATAAAAGATAAGGGGGATGTTTAAAATTCGTGATCTGCTCGCTGTGCATACTATGACCACTGACAAATCGTTCTGAATCACTCTGGGAACAAATCAGTAACGAAGCGTTGAGATGATTAGTAAAACAATCGGGTCTAAACATAGTATATAGCATATAATTGAGGGTTTTTATGACATCTGCTATCGGAAGATCAATGATTACTAAATGCATATATTAATATTAATATGCTACATGGATCCGATAACTATGTCAATAAATCAGACACGATAATAACTTGCGAATTGCTTTACCCATTCGCAACGAGAAAATATTGTCTTTACAGAGGAAGAGAATAAAAATTACGTGTAAGAGGGGGGTTATTGGGGGGCGGTGGCGGTGCAGAGAGTGGGAGATTCCTCTATGAATGTTATTGGGACTTATCCAAGGAATTGGAGATGTCCCAGTAGTTGGTTAGCCTAATGATGAAAAAGCAATCCATAAAGTGCTAATTATAGAGAGCAGTGTGCGGTACCAGGATTACCATTACTTGGATTATTCGACTCGCAGCTAAAATAAGCATGCTAATATTCTACTGGATCCTTTATACAGACACTGGTCAATAAAAAAAGGTATCTTTAGCCAGACATGTTATTGCCTGTAACTTTCCAAGAAGCGAAAATAGAATATGGAAGGAATAATCTTTGGTACGTGATCATGACGATACTTCAACACATAATTATTTAATTCGGCTTTATAATTACGTGAATTCAGATAATTATTTAGTCCCAAATACTATATTTGCTTTATTTTTGCAATTTGTGACTCTTTGTTAACGTCAATAATTTCTTAGCGTCTGATTACCAAGTCGAGAGCATTTCTCGGTTGCCATGCAATTATATTGTTTGCTAGTCAACGTTTAAAATTCGACACCAAATAAGACAACATCCACTCATAATTTACAATACTCATGTATACAATCATATTTATTTATTCATCTCGTCTTGTCTTACCGAATGGAAGATTCACCGAATGGAAGATTCCTTTTTGCGGTTTCTATTTATTCTATGTACAGAGAGGTGTCAAATATAACATTTATATTGGTGTAACATATCGATTAGAGATTATAGGTATGTGTGTCTATAATAATAAGCAATTAGTGCGAACCATCAAATGTCAATGTGAGACTGCATGTCCGAGACTATCTACAATAGCATGCCAAATACATATAATAATAACGTTTAAAACTAATAGCCGGGGGAAAATAGTTTTCTATGGTAATTACCGAATGTTCGATATTACATACAGTAGTTTCGCTGACATTATCATGACATTATTGTGTAAATCTCCAAATGGGGTGGCGGACAAATTTTAATAAAACCTTAATCCGACTAGCGACGAATAAAAGAACACTTACATTCCTGGTGTAAGAAACCCAAAAAAGACCACGGAAAAATTCACACTCGACAAAGCAAGTAATCAAGAGCGATTAGAGGTTTAACCTGAAATTAATATTAATAACACAATGTATGCACTATCACATGGGGTTGGTCTTTGTCGGCGAAAAAGTCAAAGGCATCCATCCTTATGCAAATTCGTTATATAATGTCATTCTTTAAGGTTCGGGAGGGAAAGGGTTGGTGTAATTTGCATTCTATTGGTAACAGTTGAAAGTTTTGTGCTATATCGTGTTATCATCTGTTCATATGACAAAGCAACCCTTTTAGTCGACGTTTAGGCGTCTAGAAAATGCAGAGTCGAACAAACGTCTTTCGACACATTGGTGTAAATTTAGAATAATGCCAAGATGGATTGTCTTGGTTGGGCGCTTCTTTTGAATTGTTAATTCCCAAGATAGAATGTGTATGAAGAACGGCCATGGGCATCGTTGCGGCGATGTCCAAATATTGCTTTATTTGGTGTCGTTGAAAGAGAATGCCAAGTGAACGCATTGTGCATTCAGATGCGGAGTAAGAAAAGGGAGATAAGCCATTTCGTGTAACTCGCAGATCGTCATTGATGTCTCTTCCAAGCCATCATGCTTCCATCCGCCTTTCTGCATGAACCGCTATCCGTCCGTATTTTTCGTTCGTTTTTGCCACACAAGCATTTATTGCTGTCAGTTTATTGGTTTCCAGGTCAATCACTGATTTTTAATTTTTCGTCCAGTCACATGAATGCACAAGAACAAAGGGAGACAACGAGTAATTTTCCGCAACATATGCCGTATAATAATAATCCAAACCATTTTGTTTATTCAACTAATAATCCTCAAAATATCCAACGCAAACAAGGCATAAAAAATTGGAAAAAAGGGCATATTAAGTAATTATTATTCTATATATCTATTAACATTCTATTCAAGAAAGCGCTGCTTAATCTTTTTTTTTTTTTTTATCATATGTCTACATATCAGAAGCACAAACGAGAACATTTTCATATGAGAAAGTGCACATCATTTGTGTTCTTCGTCGTTTCTATAAGGAATGTACAATGCGAAAAGTCTATATTATTAAATTCATAAGTAAAAAAATAAAAACTGTGTTTGTGAAAGGGGGAAAAGGAAAGGAATGACTGCAAATATTGAGAATATCAATGAAATGCACGAACGTGCTTTAGAGAAAAGCGATCGATCAAACAGACAAAAGAAACATGAAACACGAATAATCTTAACAATATTTTTGGTCAATGAGCTCGAACGTGATGTTCGTTTATCTTTAGTTATTTACAAAAAGTTTTCAAGTGAGTTTGAGAATTTCGTTTTCATGCATACTTTTGTCTATGGAAAAAATTGAAGCGTTTGAAAGAAAAAAAAACATGATTGGAATCATATCCAGAATTGAAAAGAAAAATAAAGAGAAAAAATAAAAGAAACCCATGAAAAAATCCTATCAACAAGTGGAATGATAATATTAATCAATAAAACCAATACTCAAACTAATGAAATACAAGTCTATATAATAAACATCCAAATAGCCTATATAAAAAAAATTTTTTCCAAATATCGTTCTTTTCATATGAACGATAAGCTCGCTGATATATAATAATAATAATAACCCCATATTTGTCATCCCATATCGTCTGTGAATCAACGAATACCTATTTACTAAAAAAGGAAATGAAAAGAGAATGGAGACTATAAACAAATACAATCCGAGTGTTCATTGTTCATTTACAAGATGATTGCGTAGAAATTGCATGGGTGTAATGTCTGTAAATGTCTTTTGCCAGCAAGAGAAGGATGCGATGTAACGAATGAGTTTTGTTTTTTTTTTAAAACGTAACGACCAGAAAGATGGAAAAGCGAAGAGTGTAGAATGTGAATGAAAATTTGCTTTATGCTAAAAACAACTCGACGCAATCCAACGATTTCCTGTCATTATTATTATATTTTACTCATCGAATATCGTCTTATTCCAACTCTTTCTACTTAACGGAAAGTCCGTTCAACTTTAACCCAAGTCAATCTCCACCAAAGCACAAATCCTGTAATACTTCGTCTTGGATTATATTGTTGCTGTTCTCCCTTTTCTCCCTTTTGATGTTTTCCATGCTTTCTTCCAGAGTGCCCTTGACAGTTATGATAATGATTAAATGGATGATGTTGACATGCAGGCATCGATGAATAGTTGAATGGAGAGAAAGACGGATATGATACGTTAATTCGTGGACTCGTTGCCATGGGTGAACTGCAGTAAATCGAGCTTCGACGTGATGAAAAAGCAGTGGGGGTAAACGTTGTTGAAAACTCGAAATCAAAGTCCATGGGTGACATTGGTTCAGCGGCAGTTTTGGATGAATGTCGACGTTTGAATGGGTTGTGGATCTTGTTTTTGCGTGAGAACATTGCGTTTTTCATTTTTAAGAGTAATAAGGGTTCAAAAAATTATGTAGAATTTTTCCGGTTTCGATTGTTGTTTCGTTACTGTAGAAAGTAATTTATCGTATCGTATCGTATCGTAGTTATAATTTCGAAAATTTAAAAAGAATCCCGTTTCGTTATATAATATTGTCGTTGCGTTTCGATAATTGTCGTTTTTTTGTTTTATAGAATAATGTCGTTACGAACTTGTTCGATTATAGAATTTAGTCTTGTTATAATACTTGATCAATGAACCTTTTTTTTGTATTTTGTACAAATACAGAACTCCTCAATTACTTGAAACAAGAGTGGAGAGAGTTAGGGCAGACATCCTTCCGGGCGGTATTTATAGCTAAACTAGACGATTGTGATTGGTATTAGTTGCATATAAAATTTAATTACAAGTTACCTTTTTTGAGCGACCATAAAAACATTTGATGTATTGAATGTGAAACGGGTTTAATATATTAATAGATTTATAATGTAAATCAAACACACATGCGACTCATGTGTATCAGTTATTTATATTGCAACTAGTATAACGATATTACCCCAAATAAGTAAACACTATGTATTGTATCTGTCTTTTTTTCATACATCTTTTATTGTACACTGCCTTTGTATAAATCGATAATAATTACCGAATTTATTTGCGAAAAGGCATGGATTAATAAAGAAGGCACATCCCTCAAGGACGGACGAACATGCGGGGGAAGTATCCCGTCAGCACGGATCACTCGCCCCATTTGTCTATCTCAAGCAAACCATGGGGGTTTTTCCCTTCCCGCTACATATCCGGCTAGGAATTGCGAGTATAAAGACTCAATATAGCGGTCTCCCAGCAAAAAAAAAAGCAACATCAAGGATCAAAGAACAAATCGAAGCAGTCTCATATTGGAAACACCCTGCCGATACAACCAATGGAGTTCGAGATAAACAAAATTACCAAACAACATCGATATTACCAAACAACCGTCGATATGTTTGACTTATTTGGTCACAATCATGGGTTTGATAATGGTGGTGTTGAGATACGATCTCCACATGCGACAACATAATAATAATAATGTGTGTCTGCATATCCGAAATGGGTAATTCTCGATTTTTGTTTATACAATTGTAAGTACCAACAATTGGTATAATATCTATATATGTACAATGCCATTACTTGTGGTGTACCAATCCTCGTCTATTACTTGGTTAAATGCCCAATTTATCATGCTATGTCAGATCCAACAAGATGCTTACATCATGTCTTACGCAACCAATAATACGAATTGCTCATATTACATCATTTTTCACATGACTAATACCGCAATACAGAGCCAATAACTTTGCAGGGAATTCTTTACAAATAACCAAATACTTCCAAAAATAACCCTTTGTATTAGACAAACGAAATTTCAGATACAACGTCACAATAATATCGCAGACTCTCTTGGCTTACGAAACGTGAATGACACAACTGCTTTCCAAGGTTTTCAGAGTACCTATGAATCGTTTGTCGGCGCCTCGTTTGTTATCTTTGTCAACAAATCCAAAATTGACTTCGTGCCGTTTATCAGTTCCTTTACAACGAACGAATCAGAGATACCGTTACCAGTCGCTTACTGAGATCGATTGAATTCATTCCATTTGCATTGACTACAAATGATTATTTGTCTGATCAAGACTAGTTTTCTTGTATGCAAGATATGTCCCTTTCATTCGTATTGGAGAGTCAAGAATTGTCATCTAACCATAAGATATTGTTAAGAATGTACCATGGATCTATTAGTCTACATACCCACGTGGCGATCCTCTTTAATGTCATCCTTTGGAAACATAGCAGTGAACGGATATTTGGTGCATGTGCAAATAAATTTTCTCACATTTACTCTTATGCAGTGCTTAATCTATTACTTCTTTTCTACGTAATCCATGCGATTTAGCATGATTGACTAATGCGTCATATGCTTAATTTCGGGCATTAATTTCTTTGACATCCATCACTGTCAAGATTACCAACACGTGACTCCAAGTTACTTGATAAAAATGTCGGACAAGAGTTTTGACGTTCAAATATCAGGTACCCAAACAAGGACATGTGAAGCAGAATAAAATTTATATAATCTAAGACAGTGAACGTTGACGATTTTATCGAATAATCACTTTCCTAAAAGCGTAAGCAGATTACGTAAGCTTTCAAGATTTTAATAGACAAATTTTGTCGGCACGTCCAAAATGAAAATAAAAATAGAGATTTTAATTGCTTATAGTTTACTTGACGATATTTCATTATAGTCCGTGCTCATGGTAGCGTAAAAACTGTCACGACGAAAGAAATGAAACAAAAACGTCGCCATAATCTTTGATAACCCAAGTCCTGATGGAACGTCAACCGAATCATATTATTATCTGCTTATTATTATATTTGTATTTGCGAAACTAACATATTATTATTAAATCGTCCATCGAATATTGACCTGCGCCTCATATTCAGCAGAAGCGAAGAAATACAAGAATTGTCTGTTGAAGAAAGTTGCGAAACAGTACTTTTAATAACGTGTTTATTATCATTATTATTTAGTCTTCTCATAACATATTGATTCGTGCCGGCGTGGCGATGATAACAGACTTTGGCTTGTCTGACTTGACCTTCACAAAAATGTTATTTAAACAGTCTTGCATATCTTGACTCTAGATGCATTATAGTAGTGATACTATGTGCGATAAATATTTGTCGACTTGTTCGTGGAATGATATTTTGAAGTTGTAATTTTTTGAGCCGAGAAAGTTGATAAACTCGCCATTAAACGACGGAAAGTTGATCGTTCGCAGTATTGACAATCCTAGGCGCATATTGGAAATTATTCCCCCTCGAATTTGATTTGCTGGCCGGAGTCTCCTCCGATACGTGTATATTCGCTTGCCTTTTCGGTGAAAATAATGGGATATATGATCATTATCGTTGACCCACTAATAATAAGATACCCGATCGATTCTTTTGACATAGTCAGCGTTATAGTAAAGTATGTATTATCAAGGATGTAAGGAATTCAATGCTTGTTCTTGCAGTACTAATTGTATATGTGCGTATATAATATATTCATTCTGGCCTTACTACGCATTTTATCAATATGCAACTAGATAGTTGATAGTCCAAATCGAGTGTCATGAACGACAATAACAGATAAATAATTAACCCAACAAAGGCCTGTCATTCGTTCGCGTTATTACTACGCGCGAAATATAAATAAGTGGGCATGTCTATATCGAGGATAACAATTCGGATCGCTTGAAAATGTCGCTCGATGTGCGGAGACGTCAAGTGCTAGCTAATAGCGTAGAAGAAAGAGTAGAAGTCAATCAGAGACACTTGATTGACAAGATCCTTGCCAGGTTTGTATACTATATAGGAACTATTGTAGTCTATCAATCGGCAATAATGTTAATGTTAGCTAATAGTGAATAATCACCAATATCTATCGTTTAGATATTCTACAAAATTCGTAGTATTCAGAGAACTGATGCAAAATGCAGGTTGGTTAATTTGTGCTTAATCTGCTCATGCATTTTACATTTACCTTACTCAATATTTGTTACAACAGATGATGCAAGGTCATCAAAGATAGAAATAGTTTTTGAAACAGGGGCAGAGAGTAAAGGCTTGAGTGGAAAAAAATGCACCAGAATATTGTTCAAAAACAATGGATTTGTATTCAGACCAGATGACTGGAATCGTTTGAAGAAAATAGCCGAGGGAAACCCCGATGAGCAAAAGGTGAATGAGGCTATATAATTAAAAACCAGCCGTTACGAATGGTTGCTGACTTTATTTATTTTTTATTCGTAGATTGGCGCATTTGGTGTTGGATTTTACTCGTTATTTTCAGTATGCGAGGAACCATTGTGAGTATACTTTTATCATCGTTATCAATCAAAGTTTATTATTGTTCATTATACGAGGGTTAGCCTTTACATTCCTTATATTTGTATCATCTTTATCTAGTGTCTCTTCTGGTGACCAGGGCATGGCATTCTATTGGCGTGGTTGTCAACTGTTCGCCAAGTTGGGACCAATTGATTCTGATAATGAACAGTGGACAACTTTCTTGATGGATGTCAAGGAACCCATGGACGTAAGTGAAGATATGATGTTGAAGATACGTTGCTAGAACATCACCACATAATTTATATATGACGCTATGAATCAACAGATACCAACAACTAACGAGTTTGGAAGATTCCTGGCAACATCCATGGTGAGGAACAGTCACTATGATACTCCTATTTTTATAACGTGCTTATGTTTCTCATCTGATTATACATAGGGCTTCACCGGAAACCTTCATGAGATATGCGTATATATAGACGACACAATAATCCTAAGCCTTTCTAAGAAAGAAATGGATTCACGGGTGATGCAAATAACCAAGGATTTGAACGCATACTCACCACGTAGGATATTCCATCTCAAAGCAATTGATTTACAACGCGTAGAAATGAAAGTCGAACGTTTTGTCACAGCACCAAATGCAAATACAAGGAATGCAAGTATCTCCCTCTACGTAGCAACTGGCCATCTAGATGTATCCGTGACGGAAGTGTTCTCAGCAGAGATGGAACGCAGTACTAAAAAGAAACCACCAAGCAAGACAACTATTCAAATGCTGTTTCCAGAGTTTGATGAAAATACCTTTTCTGCGGTTGAAAAGAAGGAAAAGGATGGGTCTGAGATGTTCAAAGGTTTGTCAACGTATCCGAAACAAGGAAGAATATTTATTGGTTTTCCGACGCATCAAACGACAGGATATGTATCCCACTTGGCGGGAAGGTTTATTCCTACAGTGAGTGTTAGGTATTAATTATCTCACGTGATCATTAAATTGATCAATATTGCTTATTATTATTATTATCATATTTCTTTGTCAACGTGTAGGTTGAGCGCGAATCGATAGACCTGGTGAATAAAACGCTGGCCGAGTACAATGAGGATTTATTATCGATAGCGGGTGTGCTCACTCGCATATTATACGAAGATGAAATGAACCAAGTATCCCACCTCTATGACAACAGAATTAGATACAGCCTCGACGTGGATGAAAAAGAATTACAGGCGGCACGCGAATCAGTCTACAAAAGAGGCACATACTCTCTTACTTACTTTACATTTCGTTCAAGCACGCCCAATGATCGTGTGAGCACAATAATGGAAAAGACGTTTTTCTCGTGCTCTAAAAAACCTCTTCCTGTTATTTCCACCCTCGGTGTCCTCCCTATTAATTTGATTAGATTGCCCAACCAGAACATGGAAGGATTCATCAAGACGATCCCTATTGTTCCGAAGAGTGTACTGAATAGCTGTGAAAAATTTTTCGACAAGGCTAAAGAACGGGCAATGATCATAGACGTCACGCTGGATGATGTGTTGAATACAGAGTTGCAGGATCGAACGTTGACCGAAACAGAGATGACGGCTTTGATGCAATGGTGGATTGACTATTTTCCGAATAATATAGTATCGGACGCGGAAAAGTCTCGGTTTTTGCTTCGGGCTGTGATTGTTGTTAACGGTAATAAAATGCCGTTGGCCAAATTTAAATATTTTTTGAATCCCAAATTAATTCCGCCCGACCAAGATTTCCCTATTGAGATGTTGCCGTATGCTATTACGAAAACATTTACTAAGAAGAATGGACTCGAATTATACTTTAGGTATGTATGCATACGCCGCAATGTATTGATACTACATGTATACATGGATCCCTCCCCTCCTTACTAATTTTAAAAATGCCATTATTTCGATACTAGCAACTACAAAGAGCTTTCGCTTCCCGGTTGGGTGGATTTCCTCATCAAAACACCAACAATTCTTCAAAAACTCGAATCCGATAAAGTCTTTGCTGAAAAATTTCTTGCTATCCTCAACCGCGCCTTCACAAATCTCTCCGCAGCGAACAAAAAGATTCTCCATTCGTTGTTAAACCAAAAGAAAATAATTCCTACTAAACACGGAATGTACGTACCTGATAAGGCCTACTTGTCTTCGTTGACCCTCCTTCCTGATCTACCGACGGTTCAGTTAGAAAATTCTCGAGCTGCTTCCGATAAATTTCTCATTTTCCTTGGCGTTCGCGAGCATGTTGACGTACAATTAATATCGGATCGATTACTTTCCCGAGGAGATTGGGATTACGTGAAGCTTGTAGAATATTTTACGAAGAGAGCTAATGGTGTAAAGCCGGACGAAAAGAGGAAATTACAGATGATTCAAATATGGCCACGAGAGGATGATAAAAAGAATAAAAAGGCGGCTGCGGCTGCGGCTGCGGCTGCAAAGCCAGAAAGAAAGTATTTGATATCAGATCTGCATGTACCTGCGACGGAACTGAGAGAGCTTGGATTACCAATTATAAAATGGAAGAGATGGAGTGCTAATTCAGCTGAAGGTGAGTTAAAATTTAAGAATAAAGGATATGCTATTATTCGAGTATATAGTCTCACCGTATTATTCATATTAAACACGTTTTTTGTAGCAAAATTCCTAATAGATATCGGTCTCCGCACACATCCAACCCTAAGCAGAATTCTCACCCTGGCCGCGCCTCCAAACACGCCAGAACTCAGACGCAAGGCTATCGGATACTTTCTTAAGAAATTTGACCCCCACTATAGAAACGACTACAAAGACACTATTGATATATCATTTCTTCAGTGTGCTGATTCATCGACCTATGCCAAACCTCTCGACTGTTTTGCCAACTCTGCGTGTAATATCATGGGCTTTAACATTTTGCACAAGAGCTTACTGAATTACGCTAATATGTTGTGTGTCAAGACGGATCCGCCAAAGTTGAAGCTTATTGAAAGATTGACCGATAAACCGCCTAAGAATAAAAACGAGGCGAAGAAGATGTTTGAATATCTTGCAACACAAACGGGATCGTTCGAAGATCCAGATTGGGAGAAATTGGGAGATGCAAATTTTGTTCCTATTGAGGACAAGAAGACTATTATACATACTTGCCCGAATAGATGTTTATTTGCGCGTAAACAAAGTAATGATGAAAGGTAATAGTAAAGATCCGGGATAAATGTGTTTACAGTTAAGCGAATTACGAAATATGCTAACCGTCGCCTCCTTTTTCTTGAATCAAAAACACACATTCGCGCCTATCATAATATTAGCTATAAAGACTTCTTTTATTATGTTGACTTTGGTGAAAAAGCAAATAACTTTCTCAAATTATGTGGCGTAAAATATTCGCCTACGCCAGAAGAGCTTGCTCGAATGCTTGTTCGTTCTTCGATTAAGATCTGGAAGACGATGGGCGATAAATATATGGATATTCTCCGGGTTGTCGCTATAAACATTAGAACAATACGTCAAAATAAAGAACTGGTTTCCGAAATGAAACGTGCGCGCATGTTCGTGGGAGTTGGAATAGAACCATCTGATGATGGTGAAGAGCATGTCACGCGTCATGTCTTAGCAAGGGCGCAAGAGATTTTTCTGAATGATGATCATCACTTGTGGAGAATGTTTGGTGTTTTCACATGTCCGGAAGACAGATTGCTTGAAAACCTTTATCAGGTAAGAATAATGGATTTGATGAAAGAAGATAATTGACGAAAAACAATACACTCGTTGATCTGTGTTTGGCAAAGTTTATTTAGCTAATGTTTCCTTGCATGTAGTTAGTTGGCAGTGTATGGCTTCACGAGAATGTACGAGTCAGATATAATGTGAAAGGCATAAAACAATCCTCAGCAAAATCCATAGAACTCGAATCCACAATAAAACGACGTGCGCCTCTTTTTTACCATAATTATGCGCCTCATGGGATCCGTTACGATGCCGATTGGATACAGAAACACCTCAATGTCAGAGAGGTCAGAAAGATCGAAAAAAGTTATGTGCTAATCCCAACAAAGCAAACCAAAATTGAAGAAACTACATGTTTTTTCAATTATATGGAAGCGAATCGTACTTTATGCATTGTTGGAAATAAGGTTTCTTATCTGGACATCGCCTATAATTTATGTGAAGCTATTTATAGAAAGTTCGGGATGAACGATCCATTGATTATGTACTCAGTATTGACTTTACCGCCAGATAGTCTCAGAAGACAAGGTTATCCAGTGGATAGGATCCTGAAAAAACAAGGGAAAGTTATCATCGACACGTCGGACACGAATCTACAAAGCCTGATAACTATGCCAAAGTATACAAACGATTTAATATTAGAGAGGGACTTGCGTAATGCCGTGCTATCTTGCAAGCCTAATACGCAAAATCAGTTGATACTCGAAGCTTTTGTAGACGACAAACCTAGTAAGTGTACACTTAAGATTGGTATATTGAAGCGTCGTTCACTTCTGTTAACTATTCGCTTGTTAGGTTATTCTGTATGCCACGCCTTAAACCATCCCTTAAAATATATATGTCAAGTTAGCGGGATAAGAATCTATGCAATAGACGACATTAAAAAAGACAGGGAAGATCTCAGCAAATTTATCGAACTCCTCAAAGAGCTCTGTGGTTTATTCAAATTATCACAAGATGTAGTACATGTTTACTATGATACAGATGGGACGACAGCTGCGTTTAATCTTAATGCGTCATTATTCTTTAATCTATATATTTATGAGACATTACATGTTGAGACGTCGAGCCTTGAGGCGATGACGTATTGGTTCCTTACTTTTTGTCACGAACTAGCGCACAATTTTGTGAAGTCACATAATGAGACTCACGAGGTGAGCAAAGGAGTTGGGGTGTGTGAAGGAGCTCCTCTGTTATGGAATGACTGTTCAAGATATTTATGATGTGCTAATTGGAAACTTCTTTTTTTTCTTAGTTTTATCTCTCATCATTCGCCAGGACTCATATACCACCTTTGATTGCGAAATTGCAACAGCGTGGATTAATAGCCAGTTAATGAAGGTTTCTATGATACACGAGTAATTATATTTATTTCGGTATTCTGCAAATAAAATATTGGATCCTTATGATTGCAAGACCGTTGAAAAAAACTATCAGGAAACCTATTTTTTTTCCACTGGCTGATTGGTTTTGCTAAAGACTGGTGGTACTGGAAAGATGTCTCACTCGTAAACAAAAATCTCTTCCAGCTATTATTGAGCTGCAACCGTACGAGAACCTGTAGACTTTGCAGTTTTCTTTTATCGTCATTGCCATGTCGAAATTTTGTTGTTAAGAACTTGTTGGCGAATTGAGTTATGGATCGTCAATTGACCATGTCGCGTAAACAAAGTGCTATCATTCTGGTTGTTGGTAACGATTCGAATTAAATCAAGTCATTACTATTACTCGAATGCCTGGGCACACAATATACACTGTGTAACGAAAAAAACGGCGGTGACAAAATCCCGCATTTCTGAGCAACTACTACAACAGATATTTAAATAAAACTTGATGTGTTAAAAAGCTTAAAAGATATTTTATTAACCGTAAAATTTTTAGTAGGGAATTCTATCACCATTTGCTTCTATTACTAGTTCACATCTATTTTTTATAGATCGTACTAAATTAATTAGTTTTATTAGGAATTGCTTCCCATTCCTCGGCCAAAAATTGCTTCAATTGCTCAATATTTTGCGGCATTCGTCGTTCGACTTTATCCTTAATTATTTGCCACAAGTTTTCAATAGGATTAAGGTCGGGACTATTTGCCGGCCAGTCAATTGCCTTAATCTGTGAGCATCGGCGTACGGAGCTCATATAACCTTTTTTTCTTAAATTTCGCCAAATTGTTTGATGCGATATTGATGTTTCCTTGATTGTTTTGCACTTTTACAGCAAGTTTGTCGTGTTAAAATAGCGTATATGTTGTTACGTATATGTTGTCCCATGGCGGCAGCAATTCTTTGTGTAACCTTTGAACGGCGACCGTTCCCTCGCCGATGCTCCACTGTACCTGTTTCTTCGATTTTTTTAATGTTTCGTTCAACAGTTCAAAGGGGAATGTTTGTTTTTTGGTGGATTTCATTTGCTGAACGTATACCGTTCAACCAGTAATGCAATATTGTTTTCGCGCTGTGCATGTAGCTTTGTATTAACCATGCTTGTTCTGTTGTGCGGGCAGCAAGAGGGCGTAGAACAATTGTCTTGACTTTGAATCTGTTTGTCCGAACAGGTAGTTATTAGAAAAACAAGACGCGTTTACAATCAACAACGCGGTTTTTTATTTATTTTTGAAAAATATTTTGATTTCGTTACACAGTGTAAGTAGGATTGCTGGATGCTTTGCTTGTGTAATTAGTCGAGTCAATGTACTAATTGGTTACTCGCAGCTTCAGTTTAATCGATCTAAAGGATATGACAAATGCAAACCTTAATAGCGTTATAATTACATCTTTCTTGCGATTAGGAGAGGCATAAATTAAAGTCGGGGATATTATGGAAGGTGAGTTTGATTTTTGATTAATGTCAACTTACAATGTATGACGATCTGATTGACCACGTGATTGACCACATGATTGACCACATTAAATTAAGCTGTCCTATTTACAAATGGAGCACCACTAAATTAATGCTCCTTTATACTACTACGACTTAACAGCAAGCATACACTAACCCTACAATAAATTAACACAAGGAGGTTTAAATACTAATAGTGTGTCTCTTGAGAGATGTGATGTCAGCAGCACAACATTCTGGTCACATTTCAATAATAAAATTGGGCTCAAGGCAAACCTTCCAAAGCCCATTAAGCCACACCAATGAAACGTCGACATCAAGCTACCGACAACATCAATCAAAACACTCTCGCCGTTTACCCATACTCTATTTGCAAATGGGAAAATCGTTTCTTTATACTACTACGGCTTCGAACGGCGGGCTTATATGATGTATTATATACCGTCAGAACCTACAAAGTCGCAACAGAAACAACAAAACAGGAAGTCGTAGAAGGAGGAGGAGAGGAAGAAGACAACGACGAGGATGCGTTCCAGATAATTTTAATTTTGGCATGTTTTATGACATGTATACACGTAAAATATCGGGGGCCCCGCGTCTATATTATTAACATTAACAACATCATCATCAACACCCCCGGCACACACATTGACATCATTATCAACAACATCACCAACAATCACAGAGTCGCTGATAGAAGTCGGAAGCCGGAGAAACCAAAACAATCCGGAAACATTTGATTTCGGAATGTTTTGCGATGTGTATACGGATCAATACACACGAAACATCGGGGGCCCAAGTCGTAGAGACACTACTATATTTATCTATCTATTGACTTAAACGATAGTGTTGATGATGTCACTTTAATGCAACAAATAGTTGACACTATCAACAAAGTCGACGGTCAAGAAGACGAAAAACGTTCAATCGGAACGGATTGTCACTGGTTCAGAGGCTTTGGTTGGAACTGGTAGCGTTTTGGCATACAGTTTATGCCCAGGAAAATCTTGGAGTAGATTGTCTGTTGTTAGATTCTGACAAATCGAGAAGAACTACAACATTTACAATAAAGATATAACAGAACTTTTTTATATATCATTACCATAATTAGATACAGTCAACCCTCTTTATAGTCACCCCCTCTATAAGCACATCATATAAAAACCTCTTTATGTTTATAAGCACACCGAACCAATTATTATTGAACTTATAGGAAAAACCCTCTATATAGTCACAACCTCTTTATAAGCACATTTTCAATAAAAGTTGCATTGTTCCCGACAGCGGGACTATAGAGAATATACTGTATATACATATGAAAACCTGATATAACGAATACCTCGATATAACGAAGAAAAGTGTCTGCACCGTCTCCTTCGCCGGGTTCACTGGGTTACCAGAGGCAAATATTGCAAATGATCACACTGAACGCTTTTGCGTTGTTCTACCGGGAGATGAACAGATTGCTTTAACAACAGTAGAGCAGATGTTCGACGCCCTGGCTAAATCAACTCAATTATTGAATTTAGATTTCCAAGAATGCCAGAAGCTCTGGCCTTTCTATAGAAACCGGATCGTTAATGGTAAACAATCACAAGATAGCAGTAATTATTTCAACCAGCAACACTTTTTAATTAGTCTACTGCTAAACATAATGGGCTACCTCTGTCAAAGGGTTGGATATTCATTCCGATAGACGAGTTTTACTCTAAAGCTGATATTGCTGTTGATGATGATGTGAAGAAAGATACAATTCAACATTGTCTAACACCTGCATGGCAAGTCTTGGGTTTATATGATCTGTTGTGGACATGCCCATTAATCCAGCCATATATTTCTATAGAAGGGGGAAGTATATCGGGATTCGTCAGTTGAACAATGGATCGAAAAAATCTTGAATTATTACACTCTTAAGAATAACGATTATAGTTCGTCGGCGAGTCCACCGACTGCGTTCTTAGAAGCAGCGGCAGAGTCTGTCTTGCGTATTCCATTTTATCAACTGCTCACTGATTTTACTGCCACGTATGCTGCCGAATCACTTGGACACAGACAATTTGCTCGTCTGGTATTGACTCCGCTAAGTGGGTTATATCCTGTAGAGTACAAAATACTCGTACGAAGAAGTCATATACATAGGCGAATCTTCTATTCAAGGCTTCCATGCTTATTTCTGGCCTATAGAAACTAACAGGTACTAGAGAATTTTGTACGAGCGTTAGTTAACTTTAAAATATCCAAAGCTTCAACACCATTCTCGTATTGGAGAAAGCGTACCAACTAGAATGACGAAAGTGTCAGAATCGTAATAGCAAAAGCACTCTATACTAGAACTGCCCAAGGTATAATTAATGATTGGGTTGGGTATACGGAAAAGAACTTTCAGAATGATAGAATATTTGTATCAATGCCCGAATGTTTGATGAAGTCGAGAGTTCTCAAAAAGAATCAAGGATAGATTGGTTGAAGAGCATTTGTGAATAACCCATGGGCATAAATAAAAGTTCGAAAGAATAATCTTACCTATTGTTACTAGAACGATCTTTCGTACATAGAACGCATTTATACGGATCGCCGGGCAATATTGTTGTGATGCATAAACTGAATGAGACTGGGTTGTAGCTTGTTTGTCATTGCCCGTAATGTCAGTTGCAAGTCGGATAGTTCCTAGTCATAGCAGGTATTGTTTAACATCATTAGCACGTCCGACGATGAAATTCACATGGATTTAAGCAATTGGAGCTAACCATAGGAGAGAGAAGAAGTTCCAATGTCTTGGAGTTTTTATGCAGACATGACGATAGGTCACGCTCAATTTCTTCGCTAGATGACGATGAAATAACATAATGTAAAGTATACCGTTCATCGGGACGAGAACACGCCTAAAATGGAATCGTACAAACCATGCTCGAACAAAATTTGTTTGAGTTTCCAGCTCTCCGGTGATACTAGCCGAGAAGTTTGATCGATTACGACCAAATTTCTCAATGCGTTCTTTCAGATATTGATAGAAGGTAAATAACGATCGCGTCTTGGGTGCTATTGGAGTGGCGTGGTTGGCTTCCGTGAGTTTAGAAGCTACAAGCAAGAATAAATACATAAGCGTTTGAAAATAGTGTCGAACAAGCACGAGATTGTTTATAGACATATACCAAAGTCAAGCATCAACAGCGTTTTCATTGACAACAAGAAGGTGTCATGGCTTTCGACAACCGTCGGTGTTGCGGTCCCTTCTGTAGCTTCTAGCGTGGCCGTGAGCGACTAAATGTAAAGTCTAAGATTAGCCGCTTGGGATGGCCAACATCAGTATATCATTGAAGCATACCATTCGGTGTTCAAAATCTTCATTTCGTTTTTGCCAATCATCATGTAATTGACGGAGATACTGGTACAGAGTTTCTTGCTTTTCAAACTCGTTAACGAGGGATTGGAGCATGAACTGGCTCCAAGCATATTGAGTCGTCAGGAGATTTAATACCACGTCAAGTTGTTCGTTTGTGGAATGCTGTTGACTGTATCTAGCATTATAGTCAGCCGCCGTAACCGGTGCTTGAATATCAGTTTCGGCCAATCGGACCAGGGCTGGCTCGATGGTTGTATTTAGTGTTTCTATTATTTGCGAATTAAGCATAGCTGTTTTGCTTGCGTTCCTCTCTTGCACTAATCTATCAAATAATATGAAAGTAAGTACAAGTCAGTACTGTCTCTTCACAACAATAAAGACTACATACGCGAGACCGTTGCTGTCAAAGTCATAATGATCAATTCGAGTTATTTCGTAATCTAGAACTCTTAAATAAGTCGACAATCGTTCCAGGTCTATATCGGCCTCGATGTAATTTCGTTCGGTTTTAGGATACCTTAAGTATATAGATGATCACAAAAATCTCATGAGCGATATACTTCGTTGATTATAACGGCACGAATAAAATGAATACAACTCACAATGATGCGAGTCTCTCAATCTCCTCAGAAATTCCTTGTCCATCGAAAGCATTCATATTATCGGCATCGTCCTTCGTGTAGGGCAAAACAAAGGGAACGAGTAAGTGACTGCTGCTACAATGAACCCATGACTTTGAGAATAACATACAGACGGGAATAACTTCAAACAGAGTCGTTCCAATTCTCTCGTGTACAGCGTATCAATTTCCAAGATTTCGTTTAGTGCAGTAGTACATTGGTACATAAAATTCTTCTGAACTTCGCCTATAACCTGTAGTGATTAGAGTGGTCCCTTCAGCCTGACAAGCGCACGCATATTATATGTAAACCTTGTTTGCTAGACGATTTCCTTTCCACCATAGTTCTGGCAATAGCGTTCACCAAGCCAGACAATGCAACGTCCACCTACACAAAAAAACCATGAGTGATTCCAACTCGTACAATTCAAAAGGTTTCTCAGTATCTACCTTTACAGAGGTTTTCTCGAAAGACGCATGACTATCTCTCTTTTGTCTTTCCAATTCGCCGTTGATTTGTTTCAATTCATTACGTTCACTCTCGAGAGCATTCAAAAGATGCCTTTTAAGTCACAAAGAATGTTTCAAAAGGTCAAAACTGGGGCTCGTAAAAAACAGAGTCTTATTAATGATTGCCGCATACATACTTTAATTCTTCCTGTTGACTGGCAAGATAATCTTGAGTCTTACGCATATTCGTTACTGTCTCTTCGTTAATTCCTGCCTGTTTGCTGGCAATTGATTTATGATAATAGTTATTAAATGACAAACGTATAATAGCCAAGTCACGAAGCAACAAGTACTAATTTTTACGTTTTCATTCGGATTGGATTGACTACATTCTCTTCAGGGTCTACGTTTTTGCACAGCCAGTCAAACAGTGTCTGAATTTCAGGTATCTCGAAAGCCCACAGAAGCTGTTCGGGACGTAAACTTGATGCATTAGGATATCCTATTTCTGATAGAAACGTAATGAAGGAGGTTGCTGACGCAGTGCGCGAGTTGCTTCTGTTGTCGACTAACATGCTAATGCTATTGTGCTATGATTGTTTGATATTAATCTTAAAATTAAAATTACGCGTTAAACGTGTCTTGCAGCCCGATCTGCTCATCTAAGGCGCAGTATTGTGTATAACAATTTATCAATAGTACACGTTGATAGTTCTAATAAACGAGTAGTTCCTTACAATATTGATTATTTGTTCCCTGGTAAATTATTCGTTATACATTGAGGAATATCCGCCTCTTGTCGTAGCATTACGATTGTATTCGCTCAAGAAGAGACGTGCGTTTGAGGTATACTCCAACCAATAGCCGATTAAACTCGAGGGTCAAGATTAGTGTCTACCGATACGAGGTTTGCAGGTAGAAGCCACAGCTCCACAATGTGATAATCAAAACTTGAAGGTTTATTGTTAATCCTTTACTATAACGCGAATTTCTGCGCATTGATCACATTCTGCATAATAGTTACATTTCATTACCAACTTCCTAATAACTTCTCTTCATCGCGACAAATTGTCCATTCAATCTATCTATTATCTCTAACAATGACATTCTCCGACACAATCTGATGTAGTCCTGAATAATTGCTTGACACGGTTCTGTAGTATCGACAGTTTCAGCCGAGTAGGATTCATTTCTTTGTATGACGTTCCAAAACTTCTTCTGGTTGTAGCCTATCCAGCCCATACCATTCTGCGAGCTCAGTCACTGCAGCCCATACCATTCTGCGAGTTCAGTCAATGCACGTTTGCTCGCAGGTAAATCTTTGGGGCCGGCAGTGCTGTATTGAGTGGGCCAGCTGGATCGCCTTGTTCTCAATACTGCAACGCAGATTCTTCTTGACATACTTGAGAAAATGTTTGCGGACCAAATGACTGCCACGGCTTCTTGATTCAATTATTAAAGACATAAATGCCTTTCGTACCCGCGCATGGAGGACTGACGCGGCGGCGGCGGCGATTCTGACTAGGACGCGGCAGCGAGGCAACTCTGAATTACTGGGACGCCTCAATCTTTGAATAAATAAAAAATTAGTTGGGCGATATGGTAAGTTAAGGCAATAGGACAAGACTAATTACCTGAAAAAATAACCTGACAGAGAACGCTTCACTGTCGGAATGCAGGTCTGAGGATTCGCTACACTTTTTGTTGTGGCAGGCTTGTGTTTTATTTCATAATCCAGTTCCGAGATGAGATATAACGTGTACATGATAAGAGACTTTCAGCAGTTCCGAGACGTGCTCGCGATGGTTGGTTTTTTTTCACAAGCCCCTTATAAAATTTACATATGAAGTTTTTTTTTTTGCCCAATCATTTGCAATACATTAACATACTTTAACTTGTGCTCTTTACCTTTTTATACCAATAGCACAAAAAAATTGCTCCTTACGTTTAAAGAGCACGAGCCGCTTCCTTAACGAAAATTACTCTTGTAAAATGATCAGCAAAAAAATTCTCACCGAGCCAATCGAATTTGGAAATTGCAAATACAAATTTGGTAATACATAGCAAAAAAGGGTAATACCATCAAGCTTGATGGATTCAATGGGCGCGCTTGGGCTTTGTAAACTACTGTCTCGCAGATCGGTCAGCAACCACACAAGTCGCTACACAAATTGCTAGATTCTAATTCTTTATTTCATATACTATTATCAATAAACAAGTAGCTCATATACTCTAAAAATACACGTTTGATAAGAGTTGATCGCTTCTTGTCCCGTGATTACTCCCGTGGCATTTACGATAAGTAATTGTTCATTACAAAACGCGTTTGATATGGTTAAAAATACGAATGTACCCCAACCTGTAGACTACCGAATTAATTCCATCGGTAGAGACCAGATGATTACTCGAGGACGAATTAATTGTCTACGCATCGACACGGTGATCGTGAGTAGAAAAGTTTAGTTAAAAGGTCACTAACTGTTTAACTAAAAGTAGATCGCCACAGCTACGCTCGAGTCGATAATCGATTGCTCTCCTGCGGTTGTCGATTCGACAGCATGGAGCGAATCGACTGTAGAGCAGAAGCAACGATAGCTTATCATCGTCTAGACACGTGAACAAAGATAGTCGCAGCCCCAACACTGGCTTTTATAATAAGTGTTACATTACCCTTGTCACTGGAGGCGCGCATAACCGCCTGCGAGAAAGCAAGCGCGACACATAGATATTAAATTTAATATTTGTTGAGAATATCTAGAAATGTTATTTCAAAAATTTTCACTGGAACTTCTTAATACAGTGAATTACTGTCTATAGTCAGTCCCTTTGTTTATAGTCACACCATATGAAAACTGTCTGTAGTCACACCTCC